GAGCACTGTGAAGTCAGGCTGAGAGAGTCAAGATAGTTCAGTTTAAATAAGTGAACCTCCAGGGTGACCTAACAGTGACCTTCCAATACTTAACTGGGGTCTACAGGAAAGACAGGAAGGGTAGACTTATATTAGATATAATGAATAGACTATTTTCTGTGAGGGTGGTGAGGAAATGAAACAAGTTGGGTCCTGCACTTTGGCTGCAACAACTCCAGGCAACGCTATAGGCTTGGGGAAGAGAGGCTGGAAGACCGTGTTGAGGAAATGGACCTGGGGGCACTGATTGACACTCAGCTGAACATGAGACAGCAGTGTGCCCAGGTAACCAAGAAGACCAGTGGCATCCTAGTTTGTATCAGAAATAGTGTTGCCAACAGCAGCAAGGAAGTGATCATCTGCCTGTACTCATCTCTTGTGAGGCTACATCTTGATACTGTGTTTAGTTTTGGGCCTCTCACTACAGGAAGAACGTAGAGGACCTGGAGTGTGTCCAGAGAAGGACAATGAACTTGAGAAGATTGGAGCAATATTTCTATGTGGAGAGGCTGAGGAAACCAGGATTGTTTAGTCTGAAGAAGGGGTGGCTTGAGAGACACCTTCTTGCTCTCCATAACTGCCTGAAAAGTGTTCAGGTTGGAAGGGATACTAGATGATCATCTAGTTCCAGCACCCCGCTATAGTTAGGGACACCTCCCTCACGACCGGGTTGCTCAAAGCCTCATCCAGCCTGGCCTTGAATGCTTCCAGGGAGGGGACATTCATAACCTCTCTGTTCCAGTGGGCAGTGTGTTCCAGTATCTCATCATCCTCATAGTAAAGAATTTTTTTCTAATAGCTAGTCTAAATCCACCCTCTTCAGTTGAAAGCCATTTCCCCATGTTGCTCATGACAGCTCTGGCTAGTAACGGGTTCCTTTCTGAGCCGACTGGAGCTGCCTCTGATCTGACATGGAGCAATTTCTGGACTCTTTCCACAGGGTCCTCCCCTTCCCATGTAAACTCAACACAGCCCCTCCCTAAGAGTCTGCATAAGGACATAAGGATAACCATTTTATCCTCACAGAACGTTTCACATGATCAAGGAGTGACAGGGGAAGTGAGATTAGCAGAATAGTCATCTGTTTTCACAAAGAGAAAACTTTCATCAAATAGAAATCATTTGGCAGATACAAGTTATGCTTTTAAATTAGGCAGTAGAACACTGTAGTTTATGGAATTATATCCTGATTCAGAAGAGTTGTTAAGCATATGACTAATCTCACTGCAATGAACAGAAAAGCAGTAGTGATTAAGTTATTGGTGGTCAGTAAGTGCATGTGGAGAATTAATGGTAAATCTGAAACAATCTTTTTGTCTGGATTGGTTTTGGTAGCAATATTCTCATTTGCTTGACTAGCATGCTCCATTTGCAAATCTACCCCTAAAGAACAGCAATATGTAATACTGTATAACTTCCTTCTGATTTACAACTTTGGTGTCCTGATAACTGAATACTTAGTCTTAAAAGTTTTTGATCACTAATGATTCAGATTTTGAGTACAACATCAAGCTAAGCAAGGTTGTCTGAAACATTCTATCTGTTTTTATATCTTTTGTAATGTCCAAAATTGGAAGAAACTTTCAAAAACATCTGGCCATTCCATGTCTTACAGAAAAAAGCAGGAATATTTGCTCATATTCTGTGTTCCTAGTAAATACATTTAAATGTTCTTAATGATATCTAGGAGTTCAATAAAAAGAATCTATCTGAAAATGCGTCAAAGATATGTGACACTTGTCGATTGTTTTATGTTATGTGAAGATTTTGGTTTGTTATTGTCCTGGTCATCGCGCTTTAGAGTTTTCCATATCTAAAATCAGGAAGTGGGCGATAGGTAGCTGTTGAATAGGTGGATGGCACATCACTTCTAAGAGAATATAAGGAATGTAGTACTCTGTTTTCTGACTGCATACATTTTACTGTTACAGCAGAAGCTTCTAAATGTTGCTTTTAAGATGTCTGTGAGAAGGCATGCCAATGCATGTGCCTCGTTGTGGATTAGGGATTACTGAACAAAGAGAAACCTTTTCTGGCATCTTTCAGGAATATTATTAGGAAAATAAACAGTCACACTATCACTTACTGTGCAAAGTCATGGCAAATGTGCTATTTTATAACTCATTTACATTAATTGAAGCCCACCTTTACAAACACTGAGCTTTTCCAGTTCCTGTTTCTTTCATGAATATTTTTGCCTTGCTAGGGACATTTCTGGCCTAGAGCAGGTTCACCCAAATGAAACAGATTAAAATCTACAAATGCTTAACTTTAGTGTTTCAGGGAGAATTTAGTTACTTTTTTTTTTTTTTAATTCATGCATTTCAAATGTTTAGATGCTGTAGGAATGTCAATATTCAACTTCCTTTTCAGAAGTGATTCAATACCTGGGGACACTGAAACGCGAAAAGATGTTATTTGTTGTGTACACAAGCACTCAAAAATGTTTTTTGAGCATTCAGGGGTACTTATGAGAGTTTTATGTTACCCAAAAATGTTCAAAAATCTCTACATAATGAATAATTTTGCTGTACATTGGTAAGAATTTTGCAAGACATCTCAGAGAATTCAGTTTCACTAAATGATGATTGTCACATACTCTGACAAAAAGATGGTTGTATCTTTCCATGCTACTACCCAAGGGGTTACAGAGAATTAAAAGCAGAAGACGCAAAAGAAAAAATCACAATGCTTTGTTGCTGGCAAACTAATGCTGGAGGGTTTATCACATGAAACCCAATCAATTCCTTAAAGTGATTCTCTGGATAACAAAATCATCTTTCCTGTTGCTTGGCAGAGAACAAAAGGATAGGATAGAATGAAGACCTGTGTATTTTTGTCACTGTAGTTAATCCACATGGAGAGATATGGAACACGCTATGCAACTACATAAAGAAGCAATAAACAGCAACAAAAAATTCTGCATTCCTTCTAGTAAAGATCAGAACAGGAGCAGAACACAGGCAGAGAATTAATCTCCCTCCTGTGCTTCAATGGGTCTCCAGTGGGCTTCAACTCAATCCCTAGACGGGTTGCCAAAGGTTCATCCTGTTTTTCATTGGCAACTTCTATGTGTACATCCAAAAGAATTCAAATTACTGTCAGCTGTGATCTGTGCTCCTGTCAAGCTGAAAGTAGAACATGGCATCACTTTTCCTCAGTGTGCCACCATAAAATAAAGTCAGTTGATATTGATACAGGTCATCCCTGACAAATATAAGAATGATTTTGCAGTTTTGCATTTCGATGCCTTTCCATATAGTCCATGTTCATAGGCACATCAGAGAGTTATGTCCTAAATTAGCAAATCTAATTTCCTGCGATCTTGGACCCATCACTCTGCATTGCCCATTTCAAAGGCACTCTACTTTTGTTTAAAAGAACTCCTTGCTCTTTCCCATCCGTCAGAGTGCAGTCACTTGATTCTGCTCCTAAATAGATAAAAATAAAAAAGGCATGTCTCTGTTGCAGAATGCCACACAGAAAGAAGACAGGAAACATGTTTATAAAAATAGGTCTGCTACCCAGTTCATGTCCATCAGACAGTGCCACCCTCATGAGGTTATGTTGTCATAACTCTGATGGGAGCCAAGTTTACATAAAAGTTAAAAAGAGAAAGGAGACATGAAACCAGACTTCTCTGTCAAGTTGCATTTTCAGGCTGCATTTGCAGGCAAGAGCACAGGATGCAACACAGCCACCACCTAGCACAGTGAGGTCTGAGGTTCCAGTGATGTCAATGCTGATTTTTAGAATTCTGCTCTCTGTTTTGTGAAGCTATACCAGCAGCGTTTTCCTTAATCTGCTCTGGATTTGGCAGAGGTAAATTTCCAATTAGTATTTTCTTCCTTTCTTTTTTTTTTTTTTTTTTTTTTTTTTTCCCAGAAGCTGTACTGCATCATAGACATCACCTAATTTTATCAAGTGCCTATAGGTCAGGGATCTGGCATGTGTCCTTTCAGTTCTGAGAGGATATTTCCAGTAAATGTGTTTTTCATTTTATATTTAAGAATGAACGTGGAGATGACTCAAAAACTTCATGGCAAATTGCAACTGAACTTTAAAAAATTGATTTGGCAAGTCTTCTGAATGTTCGTTGTGTTACGGTATGAAGATCAGTCTTAAGAGATAATCAGAAATTCTTCAATAGGGAAAAGTCAAGGAATACAGAACAAACTACTGCAAATACATTGGAACATAATTAGACACAAAAAAAGAGCTGGTAAATTTTGTCTTCTATATTTGAACTAGAACTGGAGAAATAGGTTTTGTGCATACGGGCAATTAAAACAAAATTCTCTTTGTGAAAAGAAGTAGCTCTGTTCACTTCAGGACAGAGTGTCATGGCATCAGGGTGACTGAAGTTCTGTCTATTCCTTCCTGTGTGATTCTTGCCATACCCTTTAATTACTGCTTCTCAGTGTTAAAAATGTTATATACAAATCTGTTGTGAGGCTTAATTAATTGCTTGTATATGCCCTGAAATCTGCAGAAATACTTTTAAAATAAATTGGTTCTTCCTCCTAATATTTTATATTGTAACCGGAGACTATAAATGAGGAATGATAATCTTTTGATATAATTATTATATAATCATTATAATTATTAAAATTATTATAATTATTAATTGTAATATCCTAGGTGATCCCGGAATTCAATTTGAAGGTCAATCCCATGCAGTTTAAGCAGGAACCCTGTAAACCCTGACAACATGCTTAAAGCAAACGCTTCATAGATTGAAGTCCAAGTACTGGTAGGCCACTGAATTTGTAATCACCTTATTGATGAGGGATGTTTGTATTGCCCTGAAGTGTTTTATCTTCTGATGAATTCTCATTTCATTTAAAAAATAGTTAATTCCTACTAACATAAGAAAACAAAGAATTTTATAATTGCTTTAATTTTCACGTGCAGTCCCTGGAAAGTGTTCTAACATTGCACATTCCAATGCTAACTTCATGTACTATCATCATCAATGGTCTGTCTCTCCATAGAGAAGAGGAAAGATCAAATCTCCATTAACATTCCGAACTACATCAGCCTGAATAATTCAAGATAGTAAACTTCCATTTAAGTATTTTTTATAAAAGTCAACACGTTGATTTTTGAAAAAAACAAAACCCATGAGGTCAAGATTATAACACCTATCTTTATTTCACATTCTGCACTTCTGGAGAACTTACAAAACATCAACTTCAGATATTGTTAAAACTGATATCCAACAATCCTTGTTATGCATCAAACAATCTGTGTTTTTCATCTCCCTAATCCAAGGGAAATTAAAAATATTTTGATATCCAGTGTTCACGATAAAAAATACAGTACGTTTAAACTTGTCTACATTGTATGCTAAATATTCTTTAATATAAGTAATATACTAAGAAAATATGTAATTTTCATCTTAAACCACAAGTAAAAAAAAATCACTCATCTGGAATGATTTCTCTCAAGGATAGAGCAGTTTTGGCCAGCTAGGTGCTGTATGCCAAGCTGTCTTTTCAAACAGTCAGTCCAATAGACTCAATATGCAAAGGGAGAAGGTGTGAATTCTGCTTTTTGAAAGCACGTCAGAAAAGGCAGTGTTACCTATTCTAGAACTAGGAGACCATGAAAGCACTCGTATGCAATGAAGTTCATCAGACTCAATAAGACTATAAGAGAAAAAATATTATTAGAGAATAAAATAACAAAGCTGCTTTTCTCCAGAGGACTACTTTTTTTTAAGCCTGTAGCCTGTGATTAGCCAAATGCAATTTTGCAGCCTTATCAGCAAGTCTTCAATGTACTGGAACTCAAAGTGTCTGCTATGAAAAATGTAAACACAGTAAGTTGTTGTTCTAGCACTGACATACATTCCTCCAGAAGGGGAAAAAAAAAGGTACACTAAAAATAAAACATGAAAGCCAGCCAGTAAATAAATGCATAATAACTTGCTTTTATAAGAAAGAATACTTGTAGTTTATAATAAGTAATACTTGTAAGTTCAGTATTTGTAGCAATGTTTGCAGATGGAAAGATTTGTGGCTGGAAGACTGTAGTTAAGAGATCAGTAGTGCTACACAAAGGATGCTGGGCTCTGCAGAGAAATGTGAGCTGCTAGACGCCAAAAGCCTGCAAAGTAAGGTGCGAAACATTTTGCCCATTCTCAAAATCTGCTGAATCCTTGTCCCTCTCAGAGAACAGGTGAGGACTCAGGTTCTCTGCTGAAACACAGGAACAACTCTTCAGGATCGGGGGTCCTTCAGGTGGTAGCTGTCAAGCAGATTTAGGAATTAAATGTCTATTTCTAAGTGAGGAGTAAGACTCTTCTCCTACTTGTGGAAATTCTTTTGTCTTTATTCAAACATGCAAGACCTAACAGAAAATTGATATAATAAATTTCAAAACACCCCCATTTATGTGTTAGTTCAAAATCCTGAACTTGTCATGTTGGTACAATTAGTCTCAACTAAGACAGTTGACTATAACAGTCAAGAATGTAAGTTAACCTCAACTAAAATTCCATCTTTATCTTCATGTTACACGCAACTGTACAATACCAGTGTTCAGTTGTAAACATCTAAAATGCTGTTAATGAAAGGCAAGATTTCAGTGAATAACTTTCCAGGAAGAATTAAAATTTTGTGCTATTTGAGAAATATAATTTTAAATAAGGAAATGAGCAATCTCACAGCAAAGCAGGAAACTTAATTAAAAAACTAGTGGTCATTCATGCAATGCTTATCTTGCTAACCATAACCAGACAAATGAGAGAGACATCAGGTTTTCCGTTCCCATACAGCCTTCTTGGGCGTTAAAAGGTGGCTACCTCTTCAGCTGGCAGGAGATAGAAAATTCTCAAAGACTGTCATCAAGCACTTAATATGCTCTTCAAAACTTTTCTTTACATGAAGGATGATATACCTTAACATTTTTCTCATACTGTGGGTAATTTCACACAAACAGATCTAACATGGAATCTTTTTAAGGTTCTCTGCAATCAATGGAACCATGGATGGAACTGTGATGTTAAATCTTCTGCATGGCTTTTGTCTAAGGTTCCTCATTTCGAAACTTGTACGATTATAGTGAGAAGCTGGTTAATGGAAGTGTTCATTGGAATAAATATAAATATCCTTGGGAAAATGCACAGAACCAGAAAGTTTGGGTTTAATTTGTTTGTTTGCTATTTAAAAATGAACTGAATAGTGAAAATTGCAATAATGTTTGTATCAGTAATTTCTAAAATTCTCTTTGAGAAATGATTTTTTTTTTTAATGCAGCAGCATTTTCTTTCCCCTGAAGAAAAAAATATAGTGGCTACAATACAGCAGTAGAAGTATGTTAGCATGTTGCAAAGCAGTAAATTAGAGGCGGTAGTGCAAAAACAAGTGATTCATTGGATGGTGGGACATAACTCTCTAAGAAATCAGCACTACCTGCCTCCTGGCAGTGCACATGCCCTCTGCAATGTGTCACAGCAGCTGGAGACTTCTTGGAGATCTTCAGCATGCACAGAAAATTGCTTGGGATGATTGAGGTTCCTCCAAAAATAACTGTGTGTTTGTGGCAAGGTCCTATCTCAGGAGTCTGGAAATGCTTTTATGATGGTTTCATATGCAGGAGGAGGGGTTTGTGTGGAGTGGCAGATACGGAGGCTATTGTTAGACCAGTGGAATTCAGGTCGACTTAAACTGTTGGTTGTGCTTCCCACGAGGGTTGTAGTGGTGTTGGTGGGAGTGAGGGTGATCAGCTGACTGTTTGTCTCCACAGGGAGGGGAGGAGACTGCAGAAAAGGGTGGAAGGTGGATGCACGGAAACTTGACTTCCTGGGGAAAGAGTTGGCTTGTTCCAAGGAGGCTTGCCGCTGGAAGGTGAGGCTGGCCAGACTGAGGTTGCTTCGACGTTCACAGCTGCTGTTACGGTAAAATCCAGTCCTGCTAGAAGAGTGGGATGTGGGTCTGGACCGGCGAGTGAAGAGTGAAGAATTACCCTGGGAAATGTGGGCACTAGCTCTGCGACGGGACAAGCAGGTGAATAAAGCCCAGATGATCCCTCCAATCACTAGTCCAATCAACATGGACACTGTGAAGGCTATTGTTACGTGCTCTGAAATACAACAGAAATACACAGTAAGGATACTTTAGATCTGAAGCACAACCTTGCCTGAAAATGATTTGAATGTGGCTGCCTCCTTAAAAGATGAGCAAACCTACACATATTTGTACAAAATATGTGAACCTTTGCAGCACAGAAGAATTCATACTGTTCTCGCTACAGGGTATTTTTTATTTAGTTTGCAGAATTCAGTAACATTTGGAAAGTAGCTTGCATTTAATACCAGCCTCTGTGCCAGCCAAGGCAAGGGAAAAATCTTTAGTCTCTTTCAAAAATGGCCACCAAGAAGCACCAAGGTGTGCTTATGAAACCACCAAGCTTTTTCTTCTTCACATACAAAATGTGGATTTAGATAGGCTTGACATCTTTTTCATAGGTATTTATGTTCTGTGTGTGTGTTTACTAACTTATTACAAGTGAGACATATCCATGTTCTTAGAGGATTAAGCCCTGTATCTATTCTAACTAGAGATTCATACCCCAGCCCTTTACCACTGACAAAAAGATACCTTAAATCCTTTTAATAATTAGTGTAAATCACCATACCCTGAATGATTTAGGTCAAAGGTAACTATCAGTAGCACTAAGTCTATTGAATAATTCTCACCTCCCATGCTTAATTTGAAAATATACTGATCTCCCATTGGGAAAATAAAGCAGTAAGAGATTTGAAAATAAAAAAAGAGCATGAGGAATGCCATTTTCTCCCCTACATGTTTTCATAGGTGTAGAGGAATAAGATTTTCTAATAGCTCAGGTACTTCAGAAAACTTGTACATTTGTAATCTTGAATAAGGCCTGAAACAAAAGGAAAACATTTACAGATCCCCTAAAAATACAAGCTGGGTTTAGATCACAAGTGAGATGAAACTCTGTGCTGACTATTGGTTGAGAAAAGAGGAAATGAGTGAAAGAGAGCCATAGAAATATTTGAAATGATTATTTTGTCTGTGTCGTGATGCTTGTGAAGCACTTCTGTTTAGAAGGAGAATGGAAAGGAATAAGGAAAAGAGTATTGAGGAGTTTATTCATTCAGTACTTTTTAGGACAGATGAAAATATAAGGAGGCCCAGAAAATTTGAATTCTAATTAAGCCACTGGCATTTCGGATGTATATACAATCCTGTTGTTGTTTGTTTGTGATCTCTGTTTTCAGATAGGTTTCTGATCACAATACTCTGCAAAAGGTAGAATAAAGATGTAGATGATAAAGCACAGGATAGTTCTGCAATGCACATCTTCCTGTTAAAAATGCTTTGTTGCTCTTTTGATCAGAGGCAGACCAGATTTAACCTCAAAATATTATTTTTCCTCAAGCCCTCATTTTTAAAACTAAGATACTCTTGACTGGGCAAACTGCAGCCGAAGGACAAATGTTTGTTCTATTTTTGCAGGAGCTCATGAGTAGCAGCATCCAATGTTGCAACTCCTGACTGCAGATCAGAGCCTCATCATCATCAGTAGCCTTCTGACAAACATGTAATGATTCTGCGCTTTATAAAGATATGTTCAGAGACACGGCAGGCCTTACTGTGCCATTTTTCTTTATGTAAGAAACAGTCTATTAGGCTGTTTTAATGTGTTTAGCATCTTCAGTTGCTGCATATTCCTCCTCATCCTCCTGAAGATAGCATGGAAGAGCCAGATCTTGGTGACCCTCAGTGTGGAGAGCCCAGAAGATGTTTTAAAGATACCTTCCCAAACACCAGAACTGTAGTCGAGCATCCCTACTCTTGTCCCAGCATGGCCATGGGAAAGAGGAGCAAGAGCTAAACATTTTTAGATTGATTTCTTTCACATCTTGCCTAGAATTCTAGTTACATTATTATATTTTGAGACAGTCAAGAAGTCCTCCAAACACAAGGGTTTGTGCTGCTTCCCAATATCCCCGCTTCTATTTGGGCTCCTGACTCTAGTAGAGAGGAGAAGGTGCTTTCTGTGAGGCTCACATGGAAGAAGACAAGCTCAGTTAGACAGACTAACATGTTTGGCTCAGGGACTGCCATCCACCACAGCAAGGGTTTGTCCCTGCATGCCTCTAGCCATAATTTTCACCACCTGTGCAATCTAATCAGTGCTTCACAGTTAAAAGCAGATGAGGGAATTGACAAAGGTATTGAGTGTGGCTCTTTAGTCCTTCCCACATGCAGTTCCCTGTGCTGGAGGTACAGCACAGGCAATTATCCTTTTTTGATAATACCTTCATTTTATTTAACTTCTTTTATTCTCTTATTTTTCTACCTCTATGTTTGAACACAAAAATTGAGGGTCAGCTTATTCTCTGGGGAAACTCAGCTGGGTTAACTCTGATTATTGCAGTCCACATGTAGTAACCCATATCCTCTCGTTTCAATTTGTATCTAAGTTTGATTCTTCTAGTCCCTATTATAGAAATATCACTAGACCTATGGGTTACTGGTACTTTTTTTTTCTTTCTCTTCCCAGACTATCCCTGACTTCAGTGGGAACAGCAGGAGCACACTAATAGGCCAAACTTGTTTTTTGTTGACCTCCTGAAGAGGATGAATTTCACTGAAATGTAGTTCAGTTCTAAAAACTTACACTGAATCTATGCTCATTGATTTCCTCTTTAGAACGTCCAGTGATCGCAGCCCTGAGGTGCATTGGAGAAAATACTACAAAACAGAGAAAAATCAAAGGCAGAGCAGGACTTGCTGCACCTGGGATTTTCAGGAGAACAGCTGGCCTTCACAGAGTTGTTTTTCTCATCCTTAATCTGGGCAGCGCCAGGGCAGGTTTAGCCTTTCATGAGAGCAAGTGCAATACTGCTAAGATGTATCTCCTAGGGAGCTGTTACAATATCCCATGGTTTACTGAGGGCTGTGCTTGCCGTTCTGTCCTCTGCTTGTAGAAGAAGAGGAAAAAAACATTTGGGGACGTGTAGGGATGCTGACACTAACTTCCTTGGTGCTGATTCTCTAAATATGTTTTAAACCTTATGTTTCTCAGGTTATTCACACCGTCTTATTTATTTACTTATGTTACAACCAAAAAGATCAGGCATCTCATCTCAGTCAATTCTACCTCCTCTGATCCTCAACAGCAGTTGAGACAAATGATAAAAGTTTTTCAACAATAGAAAATCATGAGACTTCCAGGTAAAATGTCAGAAACAAAAGGAAACAAAGCATAATCCAAACCTGCTGCAAGATTAACAATTTGATACATTAGTTTCTTCAACTTTCTTGGTCTTTTTGCTGTATCCATGTTAAAAAGGTCAGAGTTTCAGACTACTGTTTTTTCTGCTGTAGTTGTTGTAGATTTCCTTAAGCCTTTTATAACGGGCTCTTCAGCAGAGTCTGTTGTGATAGGACAAAGGGAAATTATTTAAAACTAAAAGATGTGAGATTTAGACTAGATATAAGAAAAAAGTTTTTTTACAGTGAGGATGATGAGGTATTGGAAAATGTCACCCAGAGTGGTGGTGTATGCCCTTTCCCTGGAGACACTCAAGGTCAGGCTGGATAGCTTACATCTGAGCAGCTCAATATAACTGTAGGTGTCCTTGTTTATTGTAAGATAATAGAACTAGATGACTATATGGGAACTGTTGATCACGGACTGAACCTCTGATTGACCACCTGAGGCAAGCAATGAATCAGCTGCAGGAGCACAGGTGAAGGCAATTCACCTGTGCTACTGGAGGGGGTGGAGCCTGGCTCCACCTCTCCTAGATCCCATTTAAGTGCTGACTGCCACTGGGGAAGGATCTCTTTATGGAGATTGCTAACTATGGAGTTTATTGTGAATCTACAACAGTGGGTATTTTTCATTTATTGTCTTTCCACTGTGATGATCCTACTTAGCCTAACCTCTGTACACATATTGATCGTACAATGACTGTTAAGGCTCCCTTCCATGATTCCTTGCGCTATATGGCTCCTTCCATTCTATGGTTCCATGAGCTATGTCTGAAGCATTACTATGTGTTCTGTCAAGCTGATAGTCTCCAGCAAGTCCTTAAGCACTGTAGAATCCATGCAGAAGAAATTTGGAAGTCTTTTTAGTAAAGATGATAGAATGTCTGACAAGGTGCTCCTGAAACAAGTTCTTCCCATTCAATTTTGGCATCAGTAGCTGGGACAATCAATCTGCAAGCCTTCTGAGAAGAAATATCTTAGGTAAATTTGACCAGAAAATTAACAACACAGCCTTATTAATTCATCACTGTGAAAAGTTAAGACAGATGCACAGTTTTCCTGCCACTATGCTCACAAATGCATACAAGGGCAAACTCTTCAGCTGGCCAAGTTCATGAAAGGATTGTAATATCATTTAAATCATGAAAGAGAGAGAAAAGAAATCAACTTCAGAGAGAGCTTCCCAGGGTAAGATCAACAGCAGCAGTTGGAAATGTGCTGAATGCAAAGAACAGAGAGATGGAAAAGCACTATTCAGTATACGCATAACTTGAATCTGAACTGCATCGCTTCCTACAGTTACCGAAAATGGGCCAGACAGTCTGTCGAGCATCTCATCTGATCATGCTATTGCCAAGTGTAAGGTGGTAGATAACATCCTCATGATGATAGCTATACATTTCGTCTCTGGTAGATGACTATTTCTAGTAGATTACTCAAATACTGTAATCTTCTTCATGTTTCACAGTTATTAATTTTTTGTTGTTTCTCCATTAAAATAGAAATAATAAGGTAGTTTTAGAAGTTAAAAGTAGTAGTTTGTTAATCAAAAATGGCATTCCTCTGAATAAGAATGTAGCTTGCTATAAAGAGGTCTTATGTATATTGTTAGTTCGTGTTCCTTTTCATTTACTTCAGTAACTGAAAGTAGTTTTGCCATCTGTTCTTCCTTTCACTTGCTCAGTAAATTCGTGACATGAAAACTTTAATTCATGTGGGATCCAGCAATCTTATTTGTAGAACATATCACCTACAAGTTGCTCGATTTCAGCTGTATGAAAAATGAGAAAAATCAAAACATAATATCATCTTGTATAGTGAAAAAGAG